GGGCTCACCAGACCAAAGATCAAGTCTCTTAAGCTGCTTTTCTGAGCCAAGAAAAGCTTACAAGTCGTCACGTTGGTCAGAACAAATGGTCCCAGTTTTAGACCCTGCAGCAGGGCCTGAGAATGGGCAGCACTCCCTGGACTCGAGAAGCAGTATTGCTTTCTTCAAGAAACATCAACACAGTCAGAGTAACCCAGGCTTATTCATGTTCGACTGCTCATTCAACCCAAAGGCTGGAACAGCAGTGCAGTGTTTTAAGCCCACTGGTTAAAAAGAGCAGAAATGAATGAGGGCAGTCAGTGGCAACAAAGTAATGTGCCATTTAAAAAAAAAATGTGCCACCCTTCTATAGTGATATTTAGCTTAGACTTACTGGAAAATTAAGAAAAGCTTTCAAAAGTTTGAACACATAAAGAAAAATATTGCTGTATGGGTTGTGACTAGCTGAATCACAGTTAATTTTGTGTCACGCATGCATGGGTGTTATTGCGTGTTATCCACTTTTTACATTTTGGACTGGATTTATGCCCAGACATGAGCAGATGAATATGATTTGGTATGTCTGCAGTTTGCTTTAAGACCTTCAATGTCAGTGGTGTCCTCCTGATAAAATTTACAGCAGAGATAGCAAAGGTGTTTTTTCACATGACTGTCATCGATCAAGCAGTTTTTTTTGTTGGCCAGTAACTGTCTGCATATTCTGAAAAGAAAGTGGGCTTTAAAAGCAGGGACTAAACTAAGTAACTGCATTAATAAAAACCTTCTTTGAACTCTGAAATATGTGATCCCACTCAGCTGGAGACTATATATTGGCCTGAAAATTGTCATAATAGGTGTTGTTTATATAACAGCTAAAGGTAAATCCGACCAAGTTCATGTCAAGTTCATACACTTCACACATACACAAACAAAAGGTGACTGCAAATGAGGCATTACATGTTTAGACAAAAAAAAAAAAAAAAAATAAAATCAGGACTTCACAAACACTCCTTACATGCCAGGCAGGCCAACCTCTAATGGCTAAGGGTGTTTCTGATAAACATATCCACAGAATCACTCTCAGAGGTGTTTAGCTCATTCTTTGAGGTGCTAAAATACCCTGTGCAGTGGTCGCTTTGCTCACCGCTGTGCCATCATTGCACAGATGGAGCCATTTATAACTGCAATTAAGTTGTAAGAAGCCGTTGCAGTATTCTCCAAAACGATAGGTTTCTCCACTCAGACAATATCACGTCATACACACTGATAAGGAGGAGAAGATGTCAAAACCGGAAGCCAAGAGTTGGCAAGTGTTTTTTTGCAAAGTTCTTTCCAAAAACTCAAGTTTTTCAAATTACTCCAACATTTGTATTTGTATGTGTCCGAGCTTCTGTGCAGGATTACCATTATAATGGCCGTAAAAACCAACATGATTAGTGCAAGACTGTTCCACAAAGATTGTGTCTTGCAACACAAGATGTGATGTGAAACTTGTCACCAGAGACCCGCGACACAAGCCACATGGCGAGCATAAAAACGGCCTTAGGCAGCTCCTCCGTGTCAAATCAAAAAGAAAAGCTAACATTGGTTTTACTACCTGGGAAAATTTTCTGACTGCATTACAGACCTGGCCTCAACGAACTATATTAAAAATGGATGAGTGGCAGTTCAGGAGGAACTCAGATGATAAGCAATGGTTCTTGTTTTGTTACCTTTTGATTGATGGCTTTATTATTAATCAATAAAACAAGCTTTTACTAGCTATAATAAATCCACAACTGCTCGAGCCCCTACAGGTTCAACTCCGAGCCATAAAAAAAACCTCTTAATTGTTTAATGTTATGCACATGCTTTACACAACGCACAACAATAAATCACCAACTAACCTGAGCACTCTGAATTTATAATCAACACGTTTTAAAGAAAATGACTAATAACCATAAGGCCGTGAGATCAAAGCAGTCGAACCACAACATGCAGTCATACAAGCCTTTTACTGTTAAATCCTACTAAGGGAGTGTAATTTAGCAGTGACATGTGGAGGTGAAATAAGGCTGTTAGAAGGTACATGATCAAAGCGGCAGATGACTACGTTATCTGGTCCCACGGTAAGCATCTGGAATGTGTGTGGGGATTTTTTCCCCCCCTTTCGGTGCCTTTTATCCGTGTCCTAACGTCTCTGCTGTCACACTGAGTCTACAAGCCTCAGAGGTTATCAAGAGCTGCGGTAGCCATGCAATGCAAATCATCTTGCCTGCAGTAGATACACAAGTTTGATAAGTGTTGGAAAAAGCTCCACCCAGGCTGGACCAGAAAGGAGCTGCTTCCAATTTACAGGACTTGGAAGTCTGCTGACATGGAACGAAAGCTGCTTCTGTTGCACGATCATGGTATAAGCCTGACACACTTGGATGAACAACTATGCTCGAAACATATGACTTACATTGGGGCATGTGCTTAAAGGGAATTGGATTAGCTTCTGGCAAAAAGAGGGATTATAAATGATTCTGACTTTGAGTGTGCTCTAAAAGGATTGATTACCATTTCAATTTTTAGTCTCTTTCTTTGCAAATGGAAATGTGAATTAGTCTCTTATTCGCCTGCTACTAAGCTGCAACACCAAGCTAACTGTGTCAAGCTGAAAACAAAGACAAGAGTGAAGAGAAGAGTGGTGTCAGTATCCAGACTTGGTACAGGACAGCTTATTCCTGGCCTGCTCTGCTGCTGCATGTCTCTCTAAGACTGCAAAGTGCAGCCAGGAAAAAGAGGAGGGACGGGATAGAAAGTTTCACTGGACATTATGCACGTATTGCGAATGAAAACACACTGACACTAAACTAACGCACAAATGAATGGTCAGTCGTTTTTAACATTTAAACAAGTTAGCTTATTTCTGCACTTCTTCAAACCATCTCTAGTGATTTAGTGCTTTGCAGAAAGTAGGCTGTTTTTCAGGGGATTCTACAGACTGTGCCATTTAATTAAAGGAAGCAAAAACAGCACAGTCAGAAGATTCCTGTTCATACAAACTAAGCATTATTGTGACATAATTAGGATGCTTACTTTATGAAGTAATCATTTTTTGGAGGAGTAATATATGATGCAAACAGAAGATAGCATGGAGTATAAAACATCGGAGCAAATGGACAAACAAAACTCACACAGATATAGATCACCAAATCTAATTCAAACTTTTAAAAAAAGCATTAGAACAAAAAGGATAGGAAAGTACACCTATTCTGCATCTCCTGTTATAGTTAGCAGTGATTCCCACATATAGGCTTTATACAAATCTACTCTGAATGACCATGGCCATAAAAACAAGCCTTACTACAAGATCAGCCCAAAGAATGAACAAATCCATCCTTCACACTGTGTTTTAGGAACAAACAACTGAGTTGGCACATTTTTTTCCCCTTTGAAATGTATTTGTTGGGGTGGAACGCTGAAAGAAAAAAAAAAAAAATGCAACTCCGCATGGGTGCTGCAATCTGCTGAGGCCATTCAGTCGACCGGCCGGCCTTGTGTGGCTTTGTATATGAGCACCAAGATGAGACATCAACTCTTGTCTATATTTAGATCACTGGACGGCTCTCCTTCCAATGTTCCCATCCTTTCAGAAAAGGCTGCCAGGGAGAATGGCGAGAAAAAACAGGCTGAGGTGATATGTAATTACACTGAATGGATCCAGCCTCTCGCATCCTTTCATTGTACCCACACGCTCAGAGATAATGAAATGGAAGGCATGCGTTTTTTCATATATTTACCATAAATCCTGCAAGTCGGGCCATTCTTATTTATGGTGTCAAAGAAAAGGCTCTAGTGCTTGACTCTGCATGGAATAAAGAGCATAAACACCAGCAAGTACCCTAGTAGTGAACTCAGTCTGATAAGGGCTTCCGAGGTGCTGTTGCTCTTAGCAGTAAACCATCCCAAACCAAAGTCTGGTTAAATGCACTTCCTACACTGCAGATACCAACTTGAATGCAGACATATAATTCAGTACAGAAACATAAGAAACTTTAGATGCAGATACAGTGCTGAAATTTATGCTGCTTCTACATACTACATTGATTTAATGTCATTTCACTTTAAGTTTTTAAATCATACCCTATAGGACAAACGTATGTCTGCTACACACTAAAATTGCAGGCGTGTACACAAACTGGACACAACCATTGGACTGCAAACAGAAAAGCACCCGTATTTTATTTGACTGAACAAAATAGGCTTAAAATAATTAACATGATAGTCCAAAGATCTAAGCCTAGCCAGAGATGCAGCTTCAAAATCACGCCTCTCTGTTAGTAACAAACAAGTTGGAAAGTAAAATCATAACCCTGCTAACCAGTGCAGTTCTGCTATACTTTGATCTGGAAAATGAATGGATCTATGCTGTGCCAGAGTAAAATGGCATATAATCACTTGAACGGAGCAGTACGTATCCACAATCGGGACGAGGGTGTAGACATAAACGTGCAAGGAAAAAAAAGCCTGCCAGTACTAACAAATGCTTATGTTACAACCTCAGTAAGATGTAACTTACCACAAAAGAATGTGGCTCAAACATGCCCAATATCGTTATACGGCAACTTCATTCATTCGATTTTAACCCTTTTCTGACTGCTAGACTGGTCAACCATTACTGAATATCAACTAAGAGCTCAGACAGAAGTTTATGTCACACATACCCACAGAGTTATATGCAAAAACGTGGAGAAGGAAACTGCGTATGATTCACTGTTACACAAAAAGGTGGAAGGATTATGCATATTAGAGGTGGAAATGGGTAAGGTGAAACGAAAAGGAGGAATTCATGAACCCAACTGGGCCACCCAAGTACTTTTATCTTTAAAGACCTGTTGAAAAATAAGCGTTTACTTAAAAGGCCATAACCTTGTAGGGGAAATGAAGAAGTAGGTCATAACAGACTTGATATATGTGGGTAGGGCATGTATGAGCCTGCAGTCTGTGGTCTGATTAAATCCGAAATGTGTTTTAAAGATGCACTGCCAACTCACCTATTCTTTTCCAGCTCGTTATGTGTCGACCTGCAAACAAAAAACAAAAAGCAGAAGCTGTTAAAAAAAAGAAAAGAGAACAAATGTACAATTTTGCCTTAATGAGCAAGCAAAATAAAAGGTACAGGGCGTCTTTATCAGAAAAAAAACAATTTACTTTACATGGGTAGTATTAGAATACTAAGTATGTATGAGCTAGAAAACCACGGGCTGAGACGTGAATGGTGAATTGGAGTGTCAAATTTGATTAACAGATTTATTAATTAATCTCAAATTAGACCAATTCTAGGCTCAGTGCACTGAAGCCTTTACACAAACAAATGTCAACGTGACATCCAGGAATGCACTGTGGCACAGTGCCTCTTCCTCAATAATGCAAGGGAGGATGTGACACTGCAGACACTTCCATTCACACTGTGCATGTGTGTGCGACTGGTAAAGTAGGAACGTGCGCACACAAATACACAAAAGCAGCCAGGATTCAGTGCTCTGTTAATAATCTAAAGTGAATCAGCTCGTCCCTAAGAGTGTCTGTGTGTGGAAACATACTGAAAGGAGACAAGGCCTCCCCCAGATTTTTTAAATGGCCAAGTTCCCTTTCACACAAACTGCACTCTACCTCCTCCCAGGGGGCAAAATGGGGGTAGGGGAGTGCTGCTGGATGCAACCTGGTCAAGCACTTTTCTATAGCGTGGGTTATCAATACTGCAGTATGCTTTTTTTCTTGCCATCTTGGTAATAAGCATGCAGGAAATATGGACGAAGCAAGAGGTAAGAACAGAACAGAGGGAATGCTGCGGTTCCATCTGTAAAAATTGGCCCAGACTCAGAGGAATTCATTTTTTAATGAATAGATTACTGTTTATTTAGTTGGATATGCTAGACAGTATGGTAAGTCAACTGTGGCAGTATATTTGATTTGACATGACAAGGTCTATGACCAGGCTGAGAAGCTACTATTACAACAAAACCCGGGCACGTTTCAGACACTGCAGGCTATTTGCTTAAAACCTGAAGGAGCCTACATGCTCACGTGCATGCCTTCATCTTTTATATACACTATATAAGCACTGAAATCATGCATGGCTGTGCTCTTCACCAGGCCAGCCACACAAACTAAAATCATATGAATGGTGCATTTAAAACAGCATAATCTCTTTTTGTTTAATGGTGATCTCCATAAATGTCATAAAAAAATAAGCTAACAGCCACACATTTAGTTCTTTATTGGGAAAATGAATAGCCACAGTCTTGTGTTGAACGCTGACTTCTTTGCACACATGTAATTATTTTCATTGTCTCCAACTCCGCTTATTTCTGTAACTGTCTGATCTGTAAAGTCAGATCAATAGTTGTGCTAACAGAAGATTAATACGTTGGAGTGCATAATTTGCGTCATCTGCTGTCACAGTGGTTTCACTGAGTCTGTGTTGCTTGGTAACCAACATCCTGCTTTGTAACCTTTCCAAACTCTGAATGTTTTACCAAAATGTGAACCTTCATTTGGTTCCCTTTAAAAGCGCATTTAGGGAACAATGTTAAAATTCAAGATTCCAAGGAACTTGTGTGAAACCAAACTTCTTTTTTTACATTTGGGAAATCTCTTCAGCTGCTCTATTTCACTATACTGAAAAATGGCCTTTCATTTAGCCTAAGTCAACTTACGTGGGTTTTATCATCACAATCCTTTTTCCCTGCCTCCTGAAACCCATATCTGCATGTCTGGACAGTGACAGTAAGGCCACACAGAACAGCAGCATGCTTCCTTCTGCAGGCAGGCATGCATGTATGTGTACGCGTATGTGTGTGCATGTATATGCATGCAGGGAGTGGGTCAGCGAGATAAAGCTGCCCTGCTATAAACGGTAGGCAAGAGAGGACAGATTCAGATAAGCCCATCACTTTAAGCCTCAACACGCTACCGAGAAGGCAGATATAACTGGAGCAAGCAACTAAGAGTGTGTTAAAATAAAATGTAATATTAATGTAAATATTATAATGAATAAATTAGCATATTCTCTAAGATGTCGGCTTAACATTAATTTTAAAAGGGTCCTTGGAGTGTTTATAAGTAAGGAATAAACAAGAACATGTTTGAGACTGAAGCTTAGGTATATATGATGTTCTTTTTGTCATTAAAAATGCAGACACAGAAGATGGCTGCGTTGTAGATCTCTTTGGCTAATGCACCATGCCTTTAATTTGCTCACTCGGCTTCTGTCATACACAGGATCTCTGAATGAAAAAGGCCCATCGAATGATCTTATTTTTTTAGTTTGCCAGATGCCGATCTCCCCATGGGAGTAAACGAAACCACATCACAATATGAAGCTGTGAATGGGTGTTTAATACAAAATGTGTTAACGCAATAGGAGAGTTGTAAACATAGCTCTATGAATAGAAACAACAAGCATTATCCCTGCACAGTTTTATTGGTAGTGCTTCTTCACATCTCGAAGCATTTAAAAACCAAATCTTTTCTCTTTGCCACTTGCTTCCATTTTCTCTCCTGCATACGTAAACAGTTTGATTACAGACTCTCAAAGTTGTCCCACTTTAGAAGCAGATTTCAGAAAAAGCATGCATTGTGAAAGCTTACAGCTTTTCTAGCATTTAACTTTACATTAAGCATCATTAATGTGTCCTTATGGATATTCTCACAAGACTAAATGTTATGAAGAGTTATGAATACGGTGTCAGACTAACAATATATCTGATCGTGACTGTTGCCATGCAGAACTAGGCAGCATTGTGCGCTCATGATGAGTAATGCGCAGTTCCTGTTTGGTGGCCTTCTCTTACATTAATATTAAAAAGCTCTTCAAGAGTACGAGTGGGCTTTGTGTTTGATGTATGACTGTCAATGGAAAGATTAATGTAAGCAGCCTAACTTAAAAAAAACAAACAAACAAAAAACCCACACAAATCCAGTGGGTCTTAACTTAGGAGATCCTCCCAACTCCTGTTACTAAATACAAGTGTCTGCCATCAGTGAAAGTAATGTGTTTGACAAGGGCCTTAATCTATGTGGCAGTCATTATCAGCAAGTGTTACTAAGCATATGTTCCATAACAATCACCAGTAGCTTTGAAATTATGCAAACTGTGAACCCATGTTTTTTTTGGGGTTTTTTTTATAGAATATGAAGGTAAAGATGAAACAGCAAGTCAGTGATTATACAAAACATAAGTCCTATAAATGGCTCCACATATTCGTCTTTTGGTGTCTGCAAACAAAACATACCATAAATAGCAGCGTTTCCTCTTTAGGGGATAAGACTAAATGTCCCTTTCTCCCACAGTGAAGTGGAGAATGCATACTAGGGGGAAATACAGAAAGTCAACCACAAAAAAAGAAATTACTAAATTTAAAAATCACGGGAAAATGTTTCTGCATTGTTTAGCCAATAAATAGAAGAAGTAGAAGATGTTGCTGCAACATTTTTTTTTCTTAAGCGACATTTTTCGTTTTAAAGTCTTTACTTTCACCATGATCCCTAACCTTGACCACTGCAGTCCGTTTGACAATCAGCTGATGAAAAGCCAGCAGAGCCCCTGTTGCTGCCACCCCCCGTCAAATCCACCGAACCAGCGGTGTTGACGGTCAAACGTGCACGTAGCTACTATAGATGTCTCTACAAGTTCGAGGATCGATCTTTTGTTATTCAAATGTCAGTGTCTCTTTACATAGAAAGCCCCTTTATCTGAAAAGCGTAAACGCTGCAATAACCAGCTGGCAGCAGTTTAGGATCACATGCTATCTGCAGCAGTGTCATCCATCCCAGAACTTCACTTTCATTACTGGCATATAAATAGCAAGACGAAGAAGAAAACAGACACTTTTCCCCAGCAATCACAAAAATGACTGAGAATAGTGTCTTACCTATTGTGGTTACTGCTGAACTTCTTATTTCGGAATTTCCTTTGCCTCTGGTAGTTTGTGTTCTGATTTGATGGAAACGTCGAGGCATATCCATGTTCACACTCTGTTGGAAAAAAAACAACTGGTGGTTAACTGACTAGCCACTTTTTTCTTTTGGGGGACACTTTCTACTTCGAAAATCACCCTTTTTGAGCCGACAACCAGTACAGGGTTGTCACTGCCAACTGAGACATTTGGAAATGTTATTACCTCTTTCTCTCCTTTCTATGTATTCTGCTGCTTCCAGTAACCGCTGGATATTTATTAGCTGAACAGCCGTCATTCTTTCCTGAGGCTGGCTGTGTTGGACGTTGCAATCTAGCTTTGCAAGCAGCAGCAACGACCGCTTTTTAATTACAGGGAAGACAGTGCATTGGTTATTATTCAAACTGACGTGTTATATCCTTGTTCCGTGCCTTTGCTGGCTCATGAGCAGCCTTCGCCAAAAGGGAAGGAAAGAAAAAAAAAATCCAGTGTTCGCAAGCTAGCAAGCTACAGCCAATCCTTGCCAGAATTCACTGTTAGAAAAAGAAAGCGTATCAAAATATTTAAAAGTTTCTACGAAACACGATATCAAATTTTTACAAAATTGGATAAAAACAATATAAAACGTCCCCGAGGGAACCCTGAACCAGCAATGCGCGTGCTGCAGCTCGTTTCCTCTCCTTTCCTGTTTGTTTACTTAGCTGCTCAGCTGAGAGGCGGGGATCCAGCGGCGGGAGAGGCCGGCCTAAGTGCAATGCATTCTGGGAAATCGAGTATTTTGGTGAATATGGTCCATTTTACCTCAAACGCAAACATTCCATTAAGTTCACAATTTAGCCCACCTTTACTGAGATATATATCGATTGGAAAATAATTCACGATTGTAATAATGTTACAACTGCAACTACAACAGGTCAGTGTAAATTAATACATACATCTGGCAGAGTTCCAGTGCACAGATCAGCAGAAATTATTTTTAAAAAAATGGTGTGTTTACTATTGTTCTTGCAAAGTTTAGGAACGTTGTTGCTTCTTTTCATGACAACGTCATAAATGTATGACAAAAAATAATAAATCATTAATTAGGGCTGCTTTTCATATTTAAATTACTAAATATCCATGTAATTCCATATTCTTGCCAGACTATGAGTCCTATGGAAAAGCCCTACAAATCCCATCCTTCACTGGGACAGTAGGCGTGTCTTGGTCGGCTGTAGCCAGGCCCAGCAACACGTGACGTTGCTATCGAGCGTAACTTCGATTGGCGAAAGGCTTTGACAGGCGGCGAGGGTTGAGCTCGCTTCTAGCCAACCGCAGGAACCTTGCGCCATGTGGAAGCCAGTGCGACACGCCCCCCAAAATAGCAGGAAGCAAACAATCGAGAGGACTGCTTTCTGTAGAAAATTTCCCACGTTGCATTATTATAGTCGATATCACTTCAAAGGCTTTCGCAGCGCGTTTCACCCAACGTGACCGACCTTTCTGCACGAAAAATGCCGTGCACAGAAAAATGCATATATAAATTCGTCTTTTCGGTCTTTTAAAGTCACGAGTTAGATGAAAGCGAAGCCATGAAAATGATCATAAAGAGTCGTTTTTAGTAGTGCATTGCCCAGATAACATGTCATTACATTGTCTACGTGCCAATCCAATACCCATCTGAATGATCGTGCTTTCTGCAATCAGCCAACTTAGCTATAATTACATCATTTCTTATAACGTGATAAACAAGCAAATCATGCAAGGTCGGATATTTTCTAAAAGGTCGAGTCAACGCCGCGAGCTATAGCCGTGGCGTTTATCTATAAAGTTTCAGTTTGTTTCACCGATCGAGTCTGCGGGGGCACAATGACATCATCCTAAACTGAGTTGGAGGGCGCTGCAATGTGGTCAGATTTATTATAACGGAATCGTAGCCAACATTCACACCCACACACCTAATCATTATGTCATATTGCTTTGTCTATGCAGCAGGGAGGTACAAAAATTATAGATCCCTGTGTTGGGAGTTGTGGAGAGTGACATAGCTCTACACGAAGATAATGCGGATAATGCAGGTAAAAATAGTCCGTAAAATTACGAAAGCTTATATTTTTCTCCCCTCCCGTAACTGCAATAAGTAAGGTCACCTAAATCAGTCTGGTGCTCTTTCATATTCTGTGTTTACTGCAGGCAGCGGTGCTTAGTTGAATGAACTCAACCCTTTGTTGTCTGAATCTGTTGACAGTGAAGTCTTTTTTTTTTTCCTTCCTGAAATTCAGATGCAAAGGGGGAAAAAGATCAAACGCAGCACACAAATAAAACTCACTTCCGTCCTTCCTCTCGGCGCTCTCAAGAAACCTAGCAGCCTCCAGCAAAACTTGTACATTTTTCAGAAAAGTGTTGATCTGCTCCATGTGGGAGTCTTTGGAGTTGAAGACGTCATTGAAAGGACAACTAGACATCTCGAAATCTTGCTGATCCAAGAGAGACGCATCGGAATCAAAAAAGAACTCCTCACTCTTCAAACTTCTTCTTTGCCTCTCACTTTTGGCCATTTCCCCCCCTCTTAGTTTCCGAGCTTTCTGGCGACGGGCTGAGCGCAATTCGCAGTGAGGCAGCTTCTGGGGGACGCTGCTCTTGTCAGATGGTGTCTCTTTTCTTTCTTTCTTTTCTTTTTTTTTTTATGAATGCAGGGTGTTTAATGTGGAGCAGTGGCCAATGTCAGTAGATGATGGTGCATGGGAAAACAGGGAGCCCGGCCCCTTAGAGTATAAGGATTCCGCATGGTCCCTGTGCCCGCCCTTGAAGAGAATACAGAATCGTGCATGCATGGACACTATACCAATGAATCATATTTACATGTTAACATTACATAAGAGTTTCATAATTCTGTTTTACATGGCATCACATTAAACAAAAAGAAGCATAACTTGAGTTTAAACAGCAGTGGCAGGTGTGGGACTAACAGCTTTTATTGTATTCTACTGCTGTTTACAGAAGTCAAGCTATGAGAAAGGCATTTAAAACTTGATTTGAAGGTAAAAATTGTTTTTGTTGTTTTAATTTGTTACAAAGAAGTAGGAAATTATTATTTTCTTCACTGACCACGCTATTTGAGCAAATAAAAAGGTTAAAAAATTAAAATAAACGAGGCTCTGTGCATGTTTATCATGCCTACACTGTTTTCTCACCAGCATTTTTTCCAGATCTTTATGCCATAGTATACTCCAAACTGAACCTCCCACTGAAAGTTACCATCTGTAAATCCAAACAAAGATCAGTACTGGAGATTACTGGGCTACAAACATGTCTAGTCATGTTCCTGGGTCAATGGCCTAGGATTTCAGAACTCAGACTTTTTATTAAATATGTTATTATTTATTCCTTTGTATGCTTGTTTCTTTTATAATCAATTGTGTTGTTTAGCTGCAGTTGCTTTTTGTAGTTGAGTTTAGTTAATTTAGTTGTATCTCCAGGTTTAATTTCCTCTTATTCATTAGTCTCTATGGTATCTTAGCTCTAGGTGTCAATTGTTTCAGTATTTTCTTGTATTTTGCCTCGTCTGTTCCCATTAGGTTTTGAGTCTTGATTACAGTTTGTTTTCTATAAGCTCTTGTTTTCCCTTTTATATAAAGTTTTCTATATTCTTTTCAGTAACTCACTTCCTGTTTTACTTTGACAGTAAACTAGCTTTTGTATTTAGTTTTACTTTCTGGTCTTGTTTTAATTAGCTTCAGCTGTGTCCCCACACCCTCACATGTCCACGTTTCTTGATTACCTCATGTATATTTAAGGCTTCAGTTTGACTCAGTTCTTTGTTGCATCATACTGTTTACTTGCTCAGTTTCCTTAGCATATTCGCTGTGTGGCTATTGTAGTCATTCCTGAAATCTGTAGTGTTTTGTGCCTTTTGTTCTTACAAGTTTGCTTCTAAAGTTTGCATTTGAGTCCCTCACTGCATATGTTTGCAGCATTGTAGGCCTGCAAGAAGACAAGCCTAAGATGAATTTACTATAAAAACACACACAAATTCCCAAATCTGAGCTTTAAAGAGAGGTGAGAAAGAGGAGCTTGAAGAACTGTGTTAGTATAACACTGATCCCACTGAAATGACAGAAAGGGTAACTGAGAGATAAGTTCTTAGCCTTGATCTTGTGCCATTTTCAGTAGACCTTTAGTTAAGATGTTTTTATACTGCCGCAGAGTCCATTTTGAACCAGAACATGTCGAGGCAGAAACCTGTATGAAGCCCTGATACACCCCCTCACTTTGCCACTTCAAAGAGCCAGCAGCAGCCCGTGATCGTTTGATGTAAAGTTCACAGGAGCAGAAACTTTAGTCTGACACAAGGGGGAATCTCTGAAGGTCCCTCCTTCCCCTGCCCCACCACCTCTTTACCCTCTGTGAGGGGTAGCTATGGACGAAGGAAAGCCATTTGAGAGGGATCCCGATTGGACTTTGAAAGGTGCCAGCGCCAGCACATGACAAAATGCGTGGATTTTCAAAAGGGCTTGGCAAAACCTCTTTGGGATTTCAGGACAGAGTTGAACATTATAGGTTACTGGGCCTACTTTTGTAGGCTCTGCTTTTTATGCTGTCTTTGCTTCCTGAAGTGCATAGCTCCAGGGCAACTTTTTTTGTCAGTGAACAAAGTGTTTATATAGCAATAGACATGAAAAGTATAGCATGAAAAGCTCTAGACGCAATAATAATATTTTCCTCCTCTGGAAGGTTTGGGCCATTCAAGTCACGTGCATTAGGAGGGATAAGAGCTGCTAAGCAGAAGGGAGTCATGTGTCCCAGCAGGAAACACTGGTAACAGTGAGACGGTACAGACTGAAAGAGACTATTGCTTAGGGGTACGTATGTCCTGTGACATACTGTTTGAAGCTCCCCACACACAGACACTCAAACCACTCATCTTCTGGCTATTATTCTGATTAAAGGCTACCCCGTGATCTTTACTTTAAAGGTAAAACCTATGACCAAACAAGACGTAGTGAACTATAAACATCAAGAGAGGAAACAGGAACAGAGGTCAGACATTTTCAAGGAGACACGCTCATTTTTACGAGCCTAAGGAACAAACCACAGCTCATAAATTAGGGGCATTAGGAGAGGCGAGGGACTGTGATAGGAAGTTACTAGTTTCATATAATGGAGATAAAGTTGCTAAGAAAAAATATGTAATTAAATTACAGTTACTTACTTACATAGAACCCCCCCGAGAAAGTATTTAAAGATAGGGCAAGATAGGGCATTATCTCATCATTGGTATTGACTTTCTCCTATTTTAGGGTCGTTATCTTACAAGATAAAGATATATATATA